GCTGGGTGCAGTGGTACATGCCTGTAATCCCAGCAACTTGGGAGGCTGAGGCAGTCGGGGCAACTTAGCAACACCTGGTCTCAAAATAACATAAAATGAAAAGGTCTGGGGATGTGGTAGAGTATCCTGGGTTCAATCCCCAGTATCATTATATATATATATATTTTAAAAACTATATATATATATATATATATATAAATAAACACCTCCCCCCAAAAAAACCACACCTTCCTTCTTTTTTCAAAAAAAATATTTTTTTTTTTTTTTTTTTTTTTTTTTTTTTTTTTTTTAAGAACAGGCATCCTCTTAGTGTTGGTACATTTCTAGCTGAATTTAGCTAAGTGTATTTTCCCGCCAAAATACCCTTTTAGGAACAACTACAAGTCGGAGAGATGGTAAATACAGAGGATGGGCAAAGTTATACACGTTATTTAACAGGAATGTGCAGAAATGTTAAAGCAAGCCATTCAGTTTTTAGTTTAAATAAGTTCTTTGAATAAATATATAGATCATATACAAATTCCTATAATTTTTGTAATTATAAATCAAAATGATATACAGAAAAAAATGCTAGACTGATTAAAAAGAGAGTACTGATGAAATGAACAAAAGGTAACCAGTTTATTTACTGGAAAAAATTATGCATTACACAATATTCAGTCGTTAACATAAACCAAGGTATAAGAATCGATATATCGGCTTCTGGTTATTTTCTTAGCATCGGAGTGCCTTTCCCAACCATTGAGTGTGTGATCAATTACACGAAAACAAGCACAGGGTGTAGGAATTCTCCCATGAGACATTCACTTAAGATTGTCTACAATAAAAAAATAAAAAGGACGAGCAATAATAAATACATAAGGATTTTTTTTCGAATTAAGAACAAATGCATGTGTCTGAGAATGTTTCCTTTGAAATTTGAATTTTTAAAAATAATTAGTAAACAGAAGTTCCTTAGATCAGTCGTTTAGTCATGTTTCCATATGGTGTTATTAGGTGGAACACTTCACATCATTTAACCCCAAAAGGCATAATAAGAAACTTTAATTAAATGTAGGAGAAAGCTAAATAGCTATAACAATAATCAGACAGTGTACAAATCAGGGTTGGCCACACATGACACAAATGTAAATACTGGAAAGAAATACAATGTAGGAATCATGTTTGGTTCACGGTATATACGTAATCATGCAAATAAAAACACTGAGTAGATTACAAAAATGTCATAAAAGATTTCCAAAGAATTGTTGACTCTAACAGTCAAACCATTGAGCTTAAAAATTCTGTGGTGACAATGTTAAAACGATGCATTTCCTCTATGACTTGCTATGCAACCATATCTATGAATCCAACATTCACTCTGTGTCTTCATTGTCACCAAATAATGATTTTTCAACATAGTGATGATATATCCTTTTACTTTATAGGTCTCTGATCTTCGTTTTAAAGTGATTTTTTTTAAAATACCAATGGCATTCTTTTTTTTTAATATTTATTTTTTAATGGTAGTTGGACACAATATCTTTATTTATTTATTTTTATGTGGTGTTGGGGATTGAACCCAGGGCCTCACCCGTGCTAGGAGAGTGCTCTACTGCTGAGCCACAACCCCAGTCAACCAAATTGATTTAAAAAAAAAAAAAAAAAGTCAACACACAAGTTTACTTCTCAGTGTTTTGATTAGAGTCATGATTACCAGAGAATAATTCTGAAAGGAAGAAAAGTTAAAATAAAAATAAATTCTCAACACATGTTGTACAGCAATTAAAAGCCAATCTCAGAATTAATCTAGATCTGCAGTTTATCCAGGCTTCAGATTAAATAGGGCAAAATTTAAATAACTCCAGAGGAAAGGGATAAAACTACATTAAAGAGTAGAGCCATGCATTTCAATATGGAAAGGAGACCAGGTACAGGTGGCAATCTCTTTACATTCCTAATGGGGAAATCACAGGAGAAATAAGACTTCTAGAGTGTTCATATCATGGATATGGGAAGGCTTACACGGTGTGAACTATCTCATGCAAACATCTTACACTGTGTACCTCTGTGCACCCTTGCCTTACACTAGCAGCAGTTTATTTCTTCTCCTCTTTTTTTTTAAACAGAACACCATTTGTAGAAAATTTTCAGCTGGGGAACATACCTTAACACTAAATATCTCTTTCAAGTACACTTTGAGTAATAGGATGAAAGAGATGTCTAGATGAAGTCTTTCAGGTGTTAACAGAGCTAGGCTACAAATGCAATACATCAGGGACTATGGTAGTAATGTTGGCATCAAAATAAAGATGAAATTGGACTGGGAATATAGCTTAGTTGGTAGAGTGTTTGCCTTGCATGCATGAGGCCCTGGGTTCAATCTCCAGCACCACACATCATCATCATCATCATCATCATCATCATCATCATCATCATCATAACAATAATTTCAGACACAATCATCTGGGAGCATTATTACAGAGGATGGAAGAAGTCACTCGGGAGTAAGCTTGTTCTCATATGTCAACACAAATTGATTTTAAGGTAAAAAATGATTTTTCAGTAGCAGCACTGATCATGCTATCTATCATGACTCCAGTTTGATGGCTTTCTGGAAAATTATGTTCCCTTTATTTGAAAACATATTACTGTAAAGTTTTTGTGATCTTAAATACATAATTATTTTAAATCACTCTGATTTATAAACAACAACAACAACAAACAACCAGAGAGTGAACTTTTAAAAATGGAAACTTCACCCCAAGAGTTTCTTTCAAATCTAGGTCTAGCTACAATATCAATGTATTTGTGGCATCCCTGGGTTGAACCAGTACTGTTCCTTCCTGAAAACCTATTAGCTTCTTCTGAGTACTTTTTCAGAGATGCAGTTATATCTTTTGGCTGACTGGAGCATGACAATGAAATGTGACATTCTTATTTCAGTAGAAAATATATTTTATTCCTTCATATTCTTGTTTTGTGATCTCCACTTAAGAACTGGAGAGGATTTTATTTAATTTATTTTTTTTTAATCAGGAAATTCCCACATCTTGGCTATTTGCTGGACCACTGTTTCAGGCTTTTCAAAATAGCAGGATTTATCTGTTGTATTTCCATAGGATAAGAAAAGCTTGAAGATCCTTTTAAGTAAAGATAAAATTCAAGAGGTACTTGTTTCCCCTGAGGGATCACATACCTTTTCTTTCGGAAGTATTCCTGAGGACAGTTGTTTTTTAGATTCCAAAAATTGAGGCTTTTTGTAGCAAAACTGCTACATTCTAGATAACTTTAAAGATATTATGAAATATAGCTGGGAGGAAAATTAATACCAACAAAAAATTTTTAAGCCAAATATCTTGGAGAAAGTAAGATTACTACCTTATTTCAAGGGATTAAATACTTTATGACTATCAGTAAAACTTTAATGTATTTAAAAAAAATAAAAGAATCATGGGATTATTGTAAGATATTTTAAGATATTTTGCCACTTAACGCTCTCTAGATCTCCAACAATATTAACTTCAAAAAAACATATCTTTTTTATAATTATCAATTCCAGTGATGAATTTTCCATTGTAAAATCCTTCTTCCTAGAATTAATATAAATCTTTCACACTGAAGAATTTCTTATTCTAGCCTTAGTGATATCTATCACAGGTGTCTATTACTTGCTAAAATTTCTCTTTTCTTGAAGATCACTGTTGTACATGCTCTCCTTCAGCTACATAAAGTATATCCAAGTCTTTTCTTAACTGTTTAAGAATTTTCTGTTTTTGCAAAGTTCCCCAAACTCCCTTTTTTGGAATCCAGAACTGTATACATGAAAGGAATCTGATAAAATGTGAGTTGATGGGAAAGTATCCAAGGTTTTTATGCCCCTGAGCACTTAGGCCAAAGGCAATTTATTGCTCCTTTTAATTTTACTGATATTTTTTAACTAAGAAAAAATCTCTAGTAAGAAAGCATTTCTGCATACTAACACTATTCTTTTCAGCATTGTAATTGTGCTTCCTTTTTGAAAAAATTACTTGGGCCAGGAGAGGCAGCACTCAAGAGGCTGAGGTGGGAGGGTCACTGGAGTCCAGGAGTTCAAGATCAGCTGAAGAGCAGAGACCCCATCTCATCAAAGCCAAAAACCAAATCGAAACAAAACTTCTACTTGGTTATTCTACTAAACACTCCTGCTAGATTTCTTTCATTTTTGCTCATCGTGTTTACAACACTTAGCTTTAGTGTATTTTTTCAATTTAGTTTTCCTCCCCAAACATGTCTTCAATTAGTAAGGCTCATCCTTTTGGGTTTTCACTAGTTCTTCACTTTTTCGGTTTCCTTTTGGATCCTTGTATTATCTTTACAAGTATTGATTCTTACCAACACTACACATATTTATTCATTTAAAATGCCTATAAATAAATATAAATATGGCTCAATTTAAACTATACCAAATAATGCCACATTGTAAATACATGGTATTCTCTCTTACTGCCACTTAATTTTGTGCTGAAAGTGAGAAATTTATTTCCAAGTTTCCAAATCTTCTTGACAAAGTTGCACTAAAATTAGTATTTTGTAGTTAAGACTTCAAAACAAGCATTTTCCACTCTATTTGGATAAAGAACTGAAATAAAACTAGTTTATGATAGGTTTCATATTTGAAGAAATAAATGTTCTGTATATGACTCACTTTTCCCTGGGACCTAAATCTAGAATAAGGGAATAAAAATGAATGCAGCCCTGGTAACAGGACAGTTGTGTGGTTTCACAGAACCAAGATCGACTGCTGAGTTCCCATCTCACCAGACAAAATCCATGAGACAAACAGAAAGACGTTGTTCTGAGGTACTCGTTAAAAAAGGCATGTTTTCTCTTGAACAAAGTCAACTTAGCAGCTATGCCACTTTTCAGGTCCAAACACATGATGCTTGAAAAAGGAAAAGTATGTGTGGAGGCGGGGCAAGCATTCTTGAATCACTCTAATAAAATCCACACTGTCTCACTAATCCTGGTAGCAGGCAGATGAAACAGCAAGGGAACACTGGTAGGATGGAGCATGTTAGGTTACTGTGACTAGGGCTTTCATGAAGATCTGTTTTGTTTGTTTCTGTACTTGAACCTGAATCTCTCTTTTGGTGAAGATTTCGACTATTTACCCCAAGTTGCATAAGAAATGACTGTTGAAAATAGCACTTAGAGAAGGAACACAAAACCTCCTGGTTGCTTTGGTAATAATGACCACCACTTATCAGGCAAATGACTGACAGAGGCTCCTGCAATGTGCTTAATGACTGACAGGTGGGCCTTGGATGGACCCCTCTATGAATGTACCACCCACTTCCACTCGATAAGCTCTTAAACCTCCACTGCTAGTGTCCTGCACCGTTATCTGTCCTTCACGTTAACAGCCGGACTGTGTCCGTTCTGAAGAGAAGTTACATGAAAAGGTGAAACCCTTATGGTTGTAAATTAGTTAAGGCTACCTGACAAAGACAAGGAATCAGGGCTAGGAGCAGTTGTGTGGGCAGCACTTGAGAGTTAAGGAGCCCTAGTGTTAGACCTTTCAGCTCAATTAGCTGTTTCCTTGTTTGTCAGATTATGTGCAAAATAAATTTTGCTATGAAAATCCACTGCCTTAAATCAGGTCATAAAAGTTACCTAGCAGAATCTGTAAATGAACTAGGAACATGTCTTATCTCAATATAATATAATGATTGTAGGCACCTGAGTGTTTGTCAAAAGTAGACAATGAGCTAAGGTTTATTATCTATTTGTTTTTTGGCAAGGAAGATTCATTATGAAAAAACCTAACAACAAAACATACAATTTTAATCAAAATCTGAACACTTTCTGGTAAATTAACTAGCCAAAGCTACCTTACATCTATGTATGTATATATTTTCTCCTTTGTTCTTGATACCTTTTAGCAGGAAAGACCCATAGTAGGACCCTGAATTTGGAAGAAGTTTAAAAAAAAAAAAGTTCTGGTCATTAAATAAACACATCATTTTTTTCCTTTCAGGTTGTTTAGCCTTCTATAATGTCATCACACACGTACATACGTACAAAGAAGCAGCACCAGTACATCTACTCAACTGCAATTTTAAAAAATTGAAGATGCCATCAAAACTTGAATAAGTCAATGAAACAAAATTTAGTCTCTTTCTTAGATTTACTTAATAATGTCCAGTGAAGAAATATAGTTAAAAAAAAAACAGCAGTTAATGAGCTACTGATTAGAAAATAAGTGCATAAATAATCAGTGTAGCAGCAAAATACAGTTATTGTTAACATTCTGATGCACCACATTTATCATTTTGTGCAAGAAAAACGATCACAATCTGGCCAATTCCAGATTTCAAACTCAATTAAAACTCATATGTAACTGAGCAAATTATGCTTCTTTGAAAATAAGTGCATTAAATTCACTTCTCACAGAAATTATTTATTACAGACATAAATCATGTAGCAAATAAAGTAACAAAATAAATATCAATGACCGAAAATATCAGAATCAACTTCTATAGCTGAATTTGGAGCATGAGGAAAGATGATTTTACAATATACGTATTTTACATCGTCTTAGGTCTCTCTTATGCTATCGAGGTAAGCCAGCCATCTGAGATGCATATTTCATGTTTCTTTTTATTTTTGAAATTTAACTGAACTGTAGCCATTGGATTGGAGAAGTTTAACAGTGACTCAGAGGAACCATAAAACGTTTGATCACACGGGGTCTGTGCTTTTTGTCAATCTTCTCAATTTTCTCTCTTCCAAAACGATGAACATTAATCCAATTGTACAGTGAACCACCGGGAAGAACATCCCCGCCGGGGCTTGGGCAGTATCCTGCGAGTGGCTACAGAACCTTCAGCCCAGATGTTCGTCCACAGGAGCTGGAGACTAGGGGTAAGGAGGCTTGGAGAGACAGTGGAGAGGGGCGCAGGGCGAGCTGGAATGTGGCTGCTCCTCAGGGAGAGCTACGTCAGGACTGAAAACGAGAAATAAGCTGGTCAGCAGGAAACGCACCGAGGGGCCAGGCAGACCATGAGGGTCAGATCAATTGCTTTCACATACATTTTAAAAACATGATCAGAAATTTTTCACAGAAAATAGTTTAAATTCAAAACATGACAAGTCACCTGTGGCTTTCAAAACAAGGCAATAATAATAATAATAATAATAATAATAATAATAATAATAATAAAAGAAAGAGGGGGAACCATGTTAGGGAAATTGCATGTGAACTCTGGCCCCAAAGTCACTTCTTTTCAACTTCAGTATGCATACAAATTGCCTAGCAATTTTGGTAGATTCTGATTTAGTAGATCTGGGTAGGACCTGAGATTCTGCATTTCTTATAAGTGCCTGCTCCAGTAATTTGGTTGGTTTGTTTTTGCAGTACAGGGATTGAACCTAGGGGTGCTCTATCACAAAGCTACATTACTGGCCCTATTTATTTATTTGGGACAGGGTCTCACTAAGTTGCCCAGGCTGATCAGCCTTGTGATCCTTCCGCCTTAGCCCCAGTTGCTGGCCTGGCTCTATCTACTGATTTAAGTGGTGCTGGAAGTTGGACCAACGCCTTAAGAGTTGAGAGGATTCTATTGTTCTCTGGTGAAATCTGGATTCAATGGGATAATTAATGGACCCGTGGAAGGCCAGTTCACTAGGAGTTCCCCCACCTGCTTTAGCACAGTGATGCAAAAACAACTGAAGAGTTTTATGACATTTTCCATTTATTAAGTAAATGATGGAGATAGACCATCACCTCTGAGAGCTTCCAATTTAAACAACTCAGGCTCATCAAGGTCTTGAGTAATCTTGAAGAATAAGGAAGTAAAATAACTGAATTGCCTAGAGTAAAACCTAAAACGTATTTGGGTTCAGATCTTTTAAAATGTGGCTAGCAGTGGGGAAAGGGCATTGTGGGGATTTTTCTCTTCTTTATTTTTTGTTGAGGGTTATTGCTGTGTTGTCCAGGCTGGTCTTGTACTCCTGGGCTCAAACAGTCCTCCTGTCTCAGTATCGCAAGTAGTTGGGATTATAGGCACACACCACAAAATCCAGCTAAGATGGATATTTTTCTAAAACTACTATTTCCCCATATATTATGAAATTCAGTACCATACAATTCACTCCTTTATCAGAAATGTTTGAGAGAACTATTCAAGGTTTGTTATTATTATTATTTATTAATTTAAATGCTTTTTTTTTTAAAAAAAAAAACTGGATTAATCCTTTATTTATTTATTTATTTTTATATAGTGCTGAGGATGGAACCCAGTACCTCACACATGCTAGGCAAGCACTCAACCATTAAGCCACAACCCCAGCCCTAACTTAAATACTTTTTAAAGCTAATATCATTGAAATAATTAAAAAATAGTATTAAATAAATACATTCTAAACTTTGGTACTGAAATTATCATTCAAATATATCTATCTTGAATTTTAATACAAAATCATAATTACACAAAATTTCTAGTCTGCTTGAAGTTACCTTTACTTCCTAAGCTCTTTGCACTTGTACATTTAGTTTAAAAGAAGATTCATGTTCTGGGCTGGTTAGAACCAATGGTAAAAGTTATTATCCTACATATTTTAAAAATGTGTGGTAGGTAAATACAGGAGAACTGGAACACCATCAAAAGAACTGAGTGGATGGTATTATTTATCAATTAAAAAATATTTTAAAAGGAAGAAAATAATTCATGGCAAGATTGACATTCTCAGATGGTCAGTCAGATGGCTGGGAAACAGCAGGTTATTGCTAAATCAAACAGATTTTCCCACAGACCTAACGGTTTCTTTCTGTAAATCTGCAAATCTGCATGAGTTAGGACTGATTCCTTTTTAGGGAATTAATATGTTATGCAATGTAAATTATAGCAAGCAATGCATAGTCACATTGTGCAAGAAGGATGCATTTTTGAAGACCTGGGTAATTCAATACTCTCTTTGATAAAGGAAGGCAAGTATTTCTGCAAGGCTGGCTGTCCTGTGTGGCAATACATTGAGTGTGGGTTACAGTTCACTTGGCCCTTCACCCTGACATAATATCATTCGTGATGACTTAAGATTATTTTCATTATTTCAGACTTTTTACATAAAGCAAGAGTTAAAAACAACTTAATAGTATTACTATTACAAATTTGCATGAAATCCACTCTTACTGCATATTATGTACAATACCCTTTAAGGAACACACTATTGGTTTCCAGCCTAAGAAATTATTCTTTAAAAAAATTTATTGGTTCTTTTTAGTTATACATGACAGTAGAATCCATTTCAACATAACTATACAAGCATGGACTATATCTTGTCTTATTCAGACCCCAGTACCTCTTCTTCCCCTTCTCTCTCCCCACCTGCAGCTCCCTTCCCTCCACTGGTCTTGAAGATCATGTTGTAAACAGTAAACTTAGAAACTATTACTATGTCATAAAGGTGGATATTATCTTTGGAAAGCTTTTTTTCTTTTTCCTTTTCCAAGAAAATAACTATTTGAAAGAAGTAGAGATGGTCTGAATACCAAACACCTCTATATGTTTAAACAGTAAATGTATAAAGTGATGGAAGTAAAATTTTTTTTAATATTTGTTTTTAGTTGTAGATGGGCACAATATTTTTATCTTATTTAAGATAACATGTGTGAGGCAATTGTTCTACCACTGAACTACAACCCCAGCCCCCCCGCAATTTTTTTCAAAATGAAATACAGAGAACATCTAATCAGAAATCACTCAACATTTGTAACAAATTTTCTCATTGTCTAATTAAACAAACGTCTCTTTTGAAAAAAGAGTCTATGTGGATAATAAAATACTCTTGCTCCTCCTACTGTAAGTAAAGTGAGGGAGGGGTCCTGTCCTCTGTAGAGCAGTGTCTACAGTCAGGGCAGTAGGATGGGCATTGGATCACTGGGCTCAGTTGTGTTCGGGATGCATGACTCTGGACAAGTCATCTGACACATTCTGACCTCAATTTCCTCATTTAAAAATGGGAACGATAGCTGTGCTTACCTTACAAGTGAGGTGTAATGATTAATACTTGTGAAGAACTTAACCCTTGTCTGGAATGCGATATGAAATCTAATGTTGGTTGTGTGTTACCTTTTCTGTGAGGAAGGAGTGGAAGGGGAATGAAGGCTTTAACTTCCATCCAGTTAGCAGTGGATGCGGGCAGGAAGGAAGCCAGTCACAATTTCGCAACTCTGCAAACAAGTCAGTCTTTTCCAGTCCATACATGTTTAATCATCTCTCTTTCTTTTTTGTCAGGACCAGGGATTGAACCCAAGGCTCTGCCACTAAACTATATCCCCAACCCTTTTTATTATTTATTTTGGGGCAGTCTTGCTAAATGGCTGAGGCTGGCCTGGAACTTGTGACCCTCTTGCCTCAGCCTCCCAAGTGCCTGGGATTCCAGGAATACACCACACTTTCAATCATTTCTCTGTGTAAACCACAGTGAGGAATGGAGGAAGCCCGGTCTGGACCATGCTGGATTCATGTGGGCAGAAACTGAAACATTTGTAATTCATTAAATTTTTCCTTTTTTTTCAAGAAAACCATCCCAATGGAGGTAGCAAATACCCTACATTCAGTAATCTCAAAAGAAATGGAACTGGGTCACAGAACCATTTATTCAAACCCATTCTCCAAAAAAAAAAGGTAAAATAAAATTAAAGTTAAAAATATTTCCTCCCAGCCTTTCTGTTTCCTATCTCATTGAAACCCTTAAAACAATAGGGTTCCCTACTCTGTGTCCAAGCGAATTAGAGGCTATGAAAGGGACTGCAGATCTTTTTCTTGAGGGTGAGTTAGGTACAGAGTTAGTATTGATAATAAAGATTGAGTGGACACAACATGCCAAGTCTCCCTAAATTTCCCCAATATCTATTCTTCCTCACTTTATGAAGATACAGAATCTTAGTTGAAAAAGAAACTTCCAAGATTTGGTTTTAGAGATGGGATTCAAACCCAGGCTACTTAGTCCAGAGCTCATTCATTCATTCATATGATCAATATTTACTGAACATCTGTTGTGTCTAGCAGTGTCCAGGGTGAGAGTGGAGGTTGGACTGTAGAATCCCACTGAGATGGATTGGAACATTTGTACTTATATTCAATTACTTACATAATGCAAATTACTCTAGTGTTGACTGCTTATATTAAACAGCATTAGTATATTAGAAAAGAACCTAACAATAACAACAACAACAAAAAGCTCTATTGCTGGAACTTGTGGAATAGCTGAGCAGGAGATATCAATTGAAAGACCCTGGATAGTGACTCTTTAATAATACCCCGATCTCTAACTCTAGGTTCCACTTAAACAGCTGGCAGTGCAACTGTCTCAGAGCCCACACCATATTTGGGCTTTGGCTGCTACTGTGTTTGTCTTTGTAGCTGCCCAGCTCCCCCAAGATATGACCTTGCCAGTGATATCTATTCCTCAGACATGCATGGAAATGTGTTTGGGCCAGCCTCTAATCAAAAGAAGCCTTCCCCTGGCAGAAGAGCAACAGATACATTAAAATACACCAATAAGCAGACCATAAAGACACAGCCAGACTACAAAAGCTTGGCCCAACAAGGCCAGGTAGGTAGCTGGAGATGAAGTATTCCATGGAGATGAGGTGGTCCTGGCGGACACTGTGATGCTGTGTGCAAGTTCACCCTCGGGGGAGGTCAACTTGTGACTGATATGGAAAGCTTTCATCTGGAATAGGAACTGTCAGCAAACTCTCCAGTTCAGTGTCCAGGGAGTGTGCAAACTTGCCTTTAAATTTCTTCAGTTAATCTCATGTAAAGGACTCTCACCACAGATACCCTTTTTTGAATGTCAATTATAAGGTTTTTCAACAGCTTTCAAACTCAGTTTTGATGAGAGCACTGAGCAGACAGAAAATAGAAACACTTTTTATAAAGCTGTCCTGGAATAGACATTAGACATATTTCATATCTAGTTTCTGTATTCTTCCTGTTGATTTGCCTGAGAAATGCATTTGAAGGACAAAAGATAAGCAGAAGAAAAAGTAGGACAAACATCCTAACAGTTCCAGGTTTTATATTTTGGAAAGCATTGAAACTACTAATTCAAATACTTGAAATACTAATCCAAGTATTTATTTAGGGAGCTGAAGGCAGCCTTCAGTCTCCCAGCTAGTGGCTGGTGACACACATGCAAGCTCTCTTGCATTCTCGTTGGGAGCATATGGACTTCAGGTATGCAAACCGTATTCATGTAGTCCATATATGAAATAATGCATAGCAAAATATAATTATGTATAGGTAGTTATGGAATTGGGAAGGGGAGTTGGGGTACATCTAGGGATCTGACATGCAGCTGGGTGGGAAGATAAAGGACGTGTGAATTTACCTGACAGTTGGGCAGTCTTGCCTCCCGGCTAGTTGTGAGCACTGTGGCGGTACGGAGGCAGCAGGCTGCTGACAATCTACAAGAAACTGATAAATTAGACATGTATACAAAGAGATGACAGAGCAAGGTGTTAGTAACAGTAACTAAAGCAGCTGCCTGAGATTTAGTGAGGAATGTGCATTCACACAGAAACAGCTTGATTAAGCAGGTTTTTTCCTGAATGATGCCAATAGAGAAGACACACTTTTTTTTTTAAATCAAATACAGTATTAAAAAATTAGTGACAAAATTAGTAGCAAGACTTTTCAAGTACATTAGGACACATGTAGTCATTCATATTTGGTATTTTGCTACCTCTAAAAAGGAAGGAGCTATTAATAAAAGATCTTCAAGTTCTGAACTTGAATGTGATGGTGGTTACTTGCATAGTACACAAATCTGCTATTCTAAAATGGAATGTATTGAGATAACTGAGCATATTGTCAGGACATGTGGACATATTGTCAATCCTACAGGTACATTGAGAAAGGCATGTAATAAAATCTTTTCCATAATTAATAGAAGGATGTTGGATAAGAAAATCATCCTTAGTTTCCTGAAGATTGATTTTTATATATTGAAAATGAGAATTGTTAGCAGAAATCATCCTGTTTATTGTATGGCAAATTGTTAGTAACTTGGGCTTATGAAGAAAGCTAAATTGAATTAAGGGGAACTCCATTCTTTGTTTTGTTTTTACCATTTTGAAGCCATATAATATGACTCATACTAGGTTAACAAAGTGATAGCTAGTAGAGTCCATGTTACAGCCAATCCACTTCAAGGAAGACTATGTGCCTGGTGTTTAAAAAATCAAAAATCAGTCTGTACTAGAATCACCCAAGAATCTAGTTAGAAATTCATACATTATATTTATGCAAAAATACTTTTGCACATAATTTAAAATTGGAGTTAGACTTAAAAACTGTTCTTGAAAATTTGAAGCACTTTCTCTTGGTAACTGATTCAGTTATGTTTGTTTTGCAAACTGCTTCCTCTATATTTACGTAGATAACATTTAAGCCCAATTAACACAAATTCTGGATTTACTGTCTTGAATGAATGACATGTATATTTAAAAATGTGTACCTAAGTATCACTTTTTCTAAAGCCAGTATATTCTCTACATAGCTAAGGAATATCCAAAATCATGATAATTGTTGATGCTTTTATGAAAGACTTTGGAAATACACTGAAACTGTGCCACACAGAATACAGTATAAAGTAGTCTTGACTTTAGTTCATTTAAGAGAACATTATTACTGAAGGGACCCTATTAAATGGTGGCCTGGGTTGCAGAGTAACATATTAATTATTGCTTATAATATGATCAAGAAAACCTGATTTTGTTGAGTGGCTGATGTTCAGATTATTACAAAAATTACAAATTTATTTTCTCATATTTGAGGAAATTTTTTTCTTTCATTTTGTTTACCCATGTTTCACCTTAATTAGCTTCAATGATTCCCTTTTGTAGAAACTCAGAGTCTTAGGAATACATTCCTTTTTTTTTTTTTTTAATCTTTGCTCCTTTTGTCTTTTCTAATAGCTTTTCTATCTGGCTTGCAATTTAGGCACGTCTTGGACTAATTTAGTCACTTTTTTTTTTTTTGGTTGGTTGGTTTGATATTTTTGAGAGTGTCTTTCTATGTTGCCTAGGCTAGTCTCAAATTCCTGGACTCAAGCAATTATCCTGCCTCATACTCCCAAGTGCTGGGACATAGGATGCACCACCATGCCTGGCTTAGACAGCTACTGTACTTGAGGACAAGACTGTGCACTTTTGAAGTTAACCAAGTGTGTGTTGCCCTCCTGTGGTGTATTTGGGTAAATGCAATGGATGTAAAGACACAAACATTTGGAAAATCACTCTGGAATCCCTGTTTAAATATTGGGAGGGAGGTATAAATGAAGTTGTTCTAAAGCAGAGTACTGTCTCTGTGGAATGACAATACTCGAATTGATTGGAGTATTAAAATGTCTAAATCTTTCATATCTTACATATATTAGAAATACTTTTTTTTTTTTCAATAAGTCATGTATTATTATTCATTCAAAATATACTTTGTGATAGAGTTTAGAAGGAAGGTAATCAGGACCACAATGCTCTCCTCTAGTAGACTGTTTTAATACGTGGTAGTTATTCTTTACATTTGTAGTAAACATCATTTTTCCTTCTTTAGAAGTAACACCTCTGGCTAATTATTATTTTACATTTATTATTTATGAGGACTTCGCTGAGTGCTAGCCTTAGAAAGTAAATGTCAAATTCCACAGATAAGTTGATGACAGATGAAAAAATTTTAAAGTTATCTACATTGATGTGACTCAAATAGTCTTCTAAATCTCTGGTCTAAGGACTTCCAGCTGGGCTCACATCCAGCCCAGCTGAGCTCAGCTCTGTCTCAACGTGTACTGTGTAAGATGAAGAGGGCAGGCTGGAAGAGGGAGACAGTTCCTTCTAGCTGAGATCCTGTGGGCTCCCCACGACCTTCCCTCCTTTGGCAGAGAAGGAACTAGGCTGAATCTCTTTTCCTTTGAGGGCATAAAAGATGACAATGATGTGGCTTATGCAGCAGGCACTGTGGATCACCCTGCAGCCACTGCTGTTGTTTGGCCACCAGGATTGTCTCAACCGTTCAACAGTCAAGTCACTCAGCTCCAAGTATGTGTCAGAAACTGTGTTAGGCAGTGGGAACAAAAGGCAAACAGAGAAGCTACAGTTGCTGCTTGATGGAGGAAGACAAACATATTCCATGAGCGATCACAGTAAGTGAAATGGTGGTGATGGTGATGATGGTAACAGCACCCCGCACTCATTCATGGCTTTGCCATGTGTCAGGCACTGTGCAGGCACTTAATATGCACATTCTCCTTGAGCCCTGTTTTATTCATTCAATTTGCAGATGGGGAAAAGGAGACTTAAGCAACTTGGCAAATCCACTAAGAGGTAGAGAAAAGGCTTTGAATGTATGATTATATGATCCAAAGGCTGAGCTGAACCTGTAGCTCCCATGATGGCAGTAGCATGGGGTATTATAGAGACTAACTTTAGCGAAATTAAATTAGATTTAATCTAACCAACTAAACGAAATCAGTTTTTGTTTGGTTTGGTACCAGGGATTGAACCCAGGAGTGCTTTATCACTGAGCCACATCCCCAACCCCTTTTATATTTTATTTAGAGGCAGGGTCTAACTGAGTTGCTTGGAGTCTCGCTAAATTGCTGGGCCTGGATTTGAACTTACGATCCTCCTTTCTCAGCCTCCAGAGCCTCTGGGATTAGAGGCATATGCCACCATGCCTAGCACTAACTGAACTGAATCTAAGTGGTCAGGGAATGCCTCCTGCAGATGTGACATCTGAACTGACACCTAACAGATACTTGACAGCAACCACACGCTGTTTATGGTCACTTCATTATAAAATTAGTGTTTACTAGAACTGAAATGGATAACATTGTAAGTTGTCACTCATAGACCTGAGAAAAATCACAGTATATTTTAAAGAGATTGTGCTTCCAGGATAACTATTATACAGGGTGAATAAGAAAAGTTAAAGGGAAAAGCATCTAGAATCTTGATAAGCACAGGAAGAGTATTCTCATGTGACATTCCTCATAAACAAAAGACTCAAGTAGGAAGGAAGGCAGAAAAGAGATATGTGTCTAAGTGAGAGTGCGCTTAGCCTGAGGGAAGCCCTGGGATCATCCCCAGGACCCGGAAAAAGGAGAGAGAGATAGAAAACAAGGGAGGGAGGAAAATATTTGCTGAGTCAACTGTTGTAATCTTTCCTACAAACTTTACATTAGTCATCTGTTTTAAGTCTTAGCAAAATCTGGAGTTTTCATTTTCACTATTCCCATAATGAGGGAAATATTTTCTATGTATGTATTTTGTGTCCGTTTTTTTCTTATTTATTTACTGGTACCGGAGATTGAACACAGGGGTGCTTTATCACTGGGCTACATCCTCAGTCCTTTTTATTTTATTATGAGACTTTATTTGAGGCCTAGGCTGGCCTCAAACTTGCAATCCTTCTATCTCAACACCTCCTGAGTAGTTAGAATTATAGGCGTGTGTCACTGTGCCCAGCTATTTTCTTCTTCCTTTAACATTTTCATTTTTCTTCATCTCTTCCACCAGAAACAAGCCCAGAGCTTGGCATCACAGTAGGTGGTCTGCAAACTTCCACTGATTAAATTGATCACTAACCACTCTGTGTATCCAGGGTCACATAGCCAGGAAGTAGCATACTGAGAATTTAAATTTAGACTCTTTTTTAGTTTTTATTTATTTATTTTGGTACTGGGGATTGAACCCAGAAGTGCTTTACCGCTTTACCACTGAGTTACATCCCTATCCTTTTTTTTTTTTTTTTTTTAAATGAGACAGGGTCTCACTAAATTGCTGAGGCTGGCCTCTAACTTGTGATCCTTCTGCCTCAGCCTCCAGAGTAGCTGTATGCACTGCCATGCATGACAAATTTAGGCTTTTTAATGCTACAGACTATTTTTCATTCACTACTCTTCTTGCTTCTCAACTCATTGTTAGCTACTTCCAGAAAATATCATGTCATAGAATTAAAGAAATGTAAGAACTTCACCAGTTAAGAAACTGATTTGCAGGCAATCAAATACCTCAGGAATGATACCTATTTTTTGAAAAGATGTGGGGAAAAATAACAAATTTCCTGGCAGACAGAAAAAGTCTTGCCACGTGGCTTTCTCTTAGGCTTCTACTATTTTTAAACATTCCAGTGCAGTTTAGAAAATGAAACAGTTTTCTAAAAGTCACTGCCTCAGGGGTCCCAGAGCCCATGACTGGCCATTTGGATGAAGGGAGAGCCTCATGTGGAAGGAGGCAGAAACACTAAATTTTGATTCTGCCTTGGCCCACAGGGCAGCAGTGGGCGTTGGTGTGGATAGTATGGACCAGAGCTGTCTATGGAGACCATTCCCCACCAAGGTGAGTAGTGGGGCCACAGGGTGGCTGCCCTGGTCCCCAGATGCTCTGCGGCAGGTGGAGCAGCAGCTCTT